GAATTTGCAATAACACAAAACCTACCTCTTGCCGCGATTAGACGCACTCTTTATTGCATCGACTATTTTAGCATATTTCGTGGGATGCTTCTTTTGAAAATGATTTTTCACATTGAACATGCTGCTTTTATGACAACTTATTTCATGTTTTTTTGGCACACACTCCTTGCACTCTACTACATATTTGTCCTTTTCCTCCCTCTTGAAAATCACATACTCAGTCAAACTTTTCCAGGGGCCAGGTGTTGACTCCACATTGACTCCTTGCACGTCATTACCGCTTTTCATCATCTTGCTGTAAAAACGACATATCACCGTCGTCATCCCCAGAAACACAACAGCAAAAGCGTTGGGAGAAAGATCGGAAAGTGCAATTATCATCGGAAAGCAATCCACTCATTTGGATCTCTACCTCGATTGGCATGCGTGACAACGCCCGCTATAAAAAGTGAACTTCACAGTGAGTTGCCTGTGCTGACGAACTATCTAAATTGGTTCGCAATCACCCACATTTCTGGAGAATTCAAATTGCTTTCGATGAATTTCTGCTTTCCATTGGAATTTCGTTTTGATTTTTTATTTTCAAAGATGAGTCGCCATATCTTTTTAGTTCCTTATTAGTGGGTTTATTTGACTCGGGGTAATTTTGTGATTTGGGTTGGTAAAATCAAAATAGCATTTCGTTCTCATTCGTAGTTGAATATGTTACTTATGATTAGTTAGAGCACGGTAAGGAATGTTCGCATGGAACGAAAGGCCGTTTTGATTTTACCAACCTGAAATACAAACAAGATCTTCGAAAAAGTTGTGAATTTAGCGACTGATACCGAATTGTTGTTGAAAATTCTGATCTATCAAAATCATGATGAAATTCTTTCAGGATGTTCGGTCAGTCAAGTGGTCCTGCGTTCACATTTGGTTCCGGCCAAACTAATGCTAATGCTGGGCAAACTCAGCAAGCCACCCAACAGCAACAGCAAGCGCCTGCATTCAGTTTTGGGGCAAAACCAACCACCACTGGTGGTTCGTTGTTCGGTTCCGGAACTAATAATCCTGCAGCAACTACTACCGCTGCAACTACTACTCCGGCATTTTCATTCGGATCAGTAGCCACTAATCAAGGTGGGACTGACTGGTTCGAGTGCTTTTTGTAAAAGAAGTTGTTACTTTTAAGTGAAGCAGAAGCAAAATTTGAACATGAGGATTAACTTCGATGGAAATTTCTGTGAAATGATAACGTACTAATTGCAAATAGCAGTTAGGATGATCCGATTGGTCATGAAATAGCACCGCACCTTAATGTTTTCGTAACCTTGATGGATCACCGTTTAAGAAACATATAACCAAGGAGTGAAAGTATTGATGCTATCATTAAGATCAAAATCGCTTCAGTTTCAAACAACTTCGTTCAATCGTAAACAGTGGTGTGATTTTGTTGCGTTCCTTTTCGAGAAACTGCTGAGAGTATTTTGGATGTGTTTCATTTAACTATTTCCGTCGAGCAATGTCTAACATTAGCAATGTCTAAGTTAACATTTTTCAGGCACATCAAATTTATTTGGTGCAAGCTTAGCCACAACGACTGCAGCAACCACCGCAGCAAACACTGGTGGTCTTTTTTCGATGAAACCAACCACGGGTGCCTCTGGAATATCGCTGTTTGGCAGTACACCAGCTGCAAATGCAACAACGACTGCTCCTGCAACACAATCGCTTTTCTCTGCCACTTCAACCGGAACAGGTTTTGCGTTTAATCCACATCTTAATCAGCCCGTTAGTTTGACACTTTGTGGATTTTTAATTGGGAAGCAAGGTGGTAGTTAGGGGCGAATCAAGAAATAAATTTAGTTTTCATTTTGATTCACTCAATATTCATTTTTGATTCACTCAATATCCGGATTGAGTAAGTAAGTAAGTAATATCCGGATTCACTCAATACTCAATGCGCCTCAAACTTAACTAAGCATGTACCTTTAGCACTAATGAAATCACGGTAGAATAAATTTGTGATGGAGTGGTTTTGAGGAGTTATATGAGATGTGAGGTTTTTCAAGGAAGCGGTATATTCGGAGGATCTTTAACGAAGTCATCCAGTGGCGCATTCGGTAGTGCTTTCTCTGGTGGAGCTACTCAACAGCAACAGCAGCAACAGCAACAGCAGCAACACCAACAGCAGCAGCAACTGCAGCAACAGCAGCAACACCAACAGCAGCAGCAACTGCAGCAACAACAACAGCAGCAACACCAACAGCAGCAGCAACT